GGAAGGGGGAAGGAAGGAGAGAGAGAAAGGGGAAGGAAAGAAGGAAGGAAGATGAGAGGAAGGGGAAGAAAGGAAAGTGAGAGGGGACAGGAAGGAAGACAGAAGGGGAAGGAAAGAAAAAGACTCTCAGGCATGCTGTTCCCATGCGATTAAACAGATGTAACTCGCAATCCTGTACCAGGAAAAAGGGCAGCTTTTAACTTTGCTAAGGAGCGGAAAGGAGTAGCAGTATAATTCTCTGCCCTAGAGCTTAGCTGCCACTGAAGAAAATTATGCTTGGGCCTAGCTTTTGCCGATGAGCCAGGTTTTTGTTCAGAAATTCCATGCAGTTCGTGTTTTCGGGGCTGCTGAGGTCCTCGAGGAAAAGGTATTGTGGAAGAGTGAAAATATTTCCTTTTGGGTGTTTCCCCCCCCCCACACACACACACACATTCCTCCTCCATCTTGAAAAAATAAAATGGATGTACACCTTGAAGTTTGGTACAAAACGCCTTACACCTTTTCCAAACTGTGATTTCAGGACAGGAAGACTGGACCAACTCAAGACACAAGGTTCCTTCAGCAAGATCATCAAAAGGAAGCTACAGAGAGCAGCCATATGCAAGATACTGATTATTCTGTCCGATGTTGTGAATTGCCCAAACTCCACCAGTCCTGTAAACTGTTCAAAGTAATTTTTTTCTATGAACAATCCCTTTTTATTAAAATCAAAGTGCTTAATCTGAATGGACGGACTGAGCTTAATCTATTTTTTGCTGACTGAAAAACCTGTACAGGAAGGAAGACACGTGAAATGAGCTTTCTTATTTCTGGATTGTATTTGGGAGAGGGGGAGGGGGGAAGGAAGGGGGGGGGGAAAGGAAAATAGGTGATCAAAAAAAAAATACAAAAAGGAAAAAAAAAAACCTTTAACTAGTGTTAAAAACAGCTAGGTTTACTAAACATGTTAATCTATTATTTTAACCTAAGCGTAACCTTTTATTTTAAAGGTTTTCAACAATTAAGTTCTTCTCTAATTTTACCTTTCAACTATTTTGCTAGTTTTTTCTCTTGCAAACATGCGTAAAAAAGGGAAAGAGATCACAAATGCAAATAATGTGGTATTTTGTAATTTGAGTCTTGAAATGTTCTGTAGTGTTAAGCAAAGTTTATTCTTGCTTGATACTAAATAAACTTTTGAAAGAAAAATCAGTGTGTGTGAGAGTATGCATTATTTATTTAAAAACCTTAATAAATAGTTGTAAACAGGGAAGGAGTTATTTTTTTTTTAACCACGATCAGCATAAAATGGTTCCTCTTAAAATATCTGTACAACTATTTTTGTTTTATTTTTTAAAAAATGGTAAAAACCTAAAGGTGCATTACATTTACTATAGCTATCTCTCTTTTGTTTTCCATTTATGCACACAATATAGATTTTAAAGAGTTGTTAAAGGAAGTATCCAAACGGTATTGAGCGGCTGGATTCCAACTTTTTTTAAAAAAAATATATTCTTGTTTTAAAATAGCTAATGCATTTTCTGAATCAGATAAATTAAAAAAAAACGCAGAGAATCAAAAAAAAAATAACCTGTGACTTAGTTTTTCATCTTGTTGAGCAATTTCTTCATTAGTGAAACTTTGGAATATTTTTTGTTGTTGTTGTTGTTTTCTGAGAGTTTTGATACCTTAATGACAACCTCACACTCCGTGCCGGAAGCAATAAATTCAAAGCTTTTAAAGACTTTCTGACTTGACTAATTGCGGTCGCTTTTCGTCAGAGGCAGAGGATGTAACCCTTAAAACGGTCTTCATTTGCAAAAGGTAAATAAATCAAATAAGATTTTAATCTCACTTAATTTATCTTAATATAACCCATAAAAGCAGGGAAGCATACCAATTAGCCAGTTTTATTTTAGATTACAGAGAGAGGTTTTTAAGATCACCACCTAAAATTTCATCTTAAAAAGTTTAATTTGTGCCAGTACCTAAAAAAAAAAGAAAAAAGCCTTAGCTCAGTCAGTTTAATTGAAGCCAAGTCTTCATGATTAAACCAATGTAAAACATCATAACTAGTGTAACTTGTAATCCTAGAATTTATGGACAAAATAATGTAACTAAGAACTCAAAACATTAGAGATGTTTTGCCCCCTAAACCTTATTCCTCTTTGTTGGCTTGATGTCTTTTAATTGTGGTGTTAATGGTTTATTATTTGCTCTGTTGATTTTAGATTTTAGAAAAGCGGAATTCTTGAATTAGTAAAAAAAAAAAGCCATTTTCTTCTTTTTATTAGGAGTCAAATGGAACGTATGGAGACCAAAGAGACCTGTTTCTCTTGATACTTTGGTAGGTATCTATTTTTTTTTCTTTTAATTTTAAGCTTTAGTTAATAATGTACCTGAAAATTGCTTTCAAATAACTAACCCGTGTTTCAGACTGTTTGACGCTTTTCTACCGATCAGGGGGGAAAAAATGGGAGATTTCTAGCCAAAATTTTTCTCCACTTCCAGAGTGTCCAATTGCACCATCAATGGTGAGTTGGAAGCTATGGTTGATGCATTGGAATTCAGAAACGGTTGACGTTGATGCCATTGGTCGACCTCAAGGTGTGGTTCCATTTTTGTGGTGGAAGGCATTTTTATAGGGTAGATGGGGGGGGGGGGGAATCAAGAACTTGAGGTCCGAGTGGACAATCACTTAAATATGAGCCAGCACTGTGCTGCAGCTTCCAAAAAAGCCAACACAGTTTTCGCTGCATAAACAGGGATAGAATCAAGATCACGTGAAGTGTTAATACCACTTTATAATGCCTTGCTAAGGTCACACTTGGAATAATGCATCCAGCTTTGGTCACCACATTGTAAAAAAGATGTTGAGACTCTAGAAAGAGTACAGAGAAGAGCAATAACAATGATTAGGGGACTGGAGGCTAAAACATATAAAGAACAGTTGCTGGAACTGGATATGTCTATTTTGATGAAAAGAAGAACTAGGGGTGACATGATAGCAGTGTCCTGAGGGGATCACGTTGATCCCCTTTTTGTGACCTGAGAAGCAAAGTCAATGGGGAAGCCAGATTCACTTGAATGACCACGTTGCTAATTTAACAACCACAGTGATTCCCTTACCAAATGTGGAGAGAAAAGGCGTAAAATGGGGCAAAACTCACTTGTAACAAATTTCTCACTTAGCAACACAAATGTTGGCCTTAGTTGTGGCCGTAAGTGGAGGACTACCACTGTATTTAGGAGGCTGGGAACGTGTGATGGCCTTTTGTGACCTTCCCAGCTGGCGTCTGACAAGCAATTTCAACAAGGGAGGCTGGCTTTGGTTAACAACCACATAATTCACTTAATAATTAGCCATTCGTTTAATAGTTGTGCCCCCCCCACCCCCAAAATGGGTGAAAATCACTCAACAATTGCCTTGCTTAGAAAAAAATTTCTCATCCCAGTTGTGATGGTAAGTCAAGGATTATTACCTCTGCATATTTGAAAAGAATCCTGCATTGAATTCATTGCATGATCCTTTTGTGTGACTTGTTCTCTTTCTGGGAAGGATAAAATCCTAACAGGTGATGTGTGGCTGTAAGAATTTTTGGCAAGTGTCTCCCAACTGTTTAGGTCATATCCTTCAAAAACTTCAGATGCAGGATGCTGATTTTCCCCCCCCATATCTGATATCTTATTTTGAGGGAGTTTTTTGTGGTATGAAATTACAATCTGATCTGGGCCTTACATAAAATCCCAGCTGTGCAACAAAATTCAGAACTACATTTAAAATCTGTCTTCCCCAATTTGTCTTCACCTCAGACCTGTTGGATATCTGGACACTCTGCGTTGGTCTAGTGTTGGGAAGTTTAGTTCAGAACATTTGGAAGACTATCAATATGGGGGAAACAGATGCACATCTCAAGAACAAAAATATTTTTATTTTTAATTATATAAAATACAAAGAAGAGAAGAAAACAATAGAAAATGAAGGGAAGGGAAGGGAAGGGAAGGGGACAGGGAAAAAACATTGACTTTGGTTTTGTTGATTAGAAAAAATTGATGTTATGGGAATGGCTAGTTATATATCAATGTGTAAAAGCAAAAAGTTGAGGTTGGAGCATGTTTATTTTGTACTGTGCTAAGGAGAATTGGAAGTCAAGAACAAAAGACTATCCATTGTAACTATCCAATGTAAGAGTTGGTTTGAGGAAACCGCATGTAGAAGGAGTTTAAGGTATGTCCCAAAGGTGCTTTTTCAAAAGGCAACTGGACTTTGTTTTTTTCCTTGAAGACTTCTCATCCAAGAAGCTTCTTCCGTTCTGAGTGAACGGTGGAGAATGGAAGGATTTATATTCCTTGCAGTCATCTGGTCATTAGCCCTCTCTCTGAGAGTCATTGAGGCCACTTGGAGATTTATCTGTGCCCTCAGGGTCACCTGAATGGTTCAAATATGTGTGGAGCCTTGGAACTCATTGTAAACAGGAGATAGGTAGTGTCGTATTCCTTCCCTTCTGTTGAGAGAGGGCTGTTCAATTTTAACATAGGTGGCCTCTTTGTTTACAACACAGTTCCAAGAAGGTTCCACACCCGTTTGCACTATTCACGTGACCCTGAGGGCACAGATAAACTCGTGGCCTCAACGTCTCTCAGAGAAAGTGCTAACAACCAGATGACTGCAATGAATATAAATCCTTCCATTCTCTCACTCAGAACTGAAGAAGCTTCTTCGATGAGAAGCAAAACGTCTTCAAGGAAAAAAAACAAAGAAAGTCCAGTTGCCTCTTGAAAAAGCACCTTCAGGATAACCATAACTTGGATGATTGAGAATCTCCTTAGACATTTAGTTAAAGGTATATGTTTAGAAAGATCAGTATTTTTGTGCCTCTCCCCCCCAAAAAATCCACTCCCCCTCCCTCTCTCTCTTACACTGCTTTCAAAGAATCTTAAAGAATCCATTTATGAGAGTTCAATAATAGCCAGTTATATAGAATTTTGAGCATCAGTTCGTCTTTTCCATCTCAATCTGCTGAAGCTTGTTTACTCGCCATTTGATGATATCATATTTACACCATTTGGGAAAATAGTATGCTGAAAATACTATGTGTTTAACCATGGCATAGTAGTGTGATAGCGCCGTCTTCAATAGCTTCCTTTCTCTCCCCCCCCAAAAAAAAAAAAAATAAAAACCTATTCACATAAAGGCAGGTGTTTTCAAAGTATGAAATGCTGCACATCTTATGAGAATTGATGAACTGTTTGCTCCTTAAGGGCAGTATAGAATATGTTATTGTTTTTTTTATGAAAGCCACTTGCAGAAATAAAAGTCATTTTGAAAAGTACAGAATCTCAGAAAGTACCACTGCCAGGCTAGTAGTTAAGTGCTAACACAACAACAGTTTTCGTTTCTGTTTTTCTAGAGGTTAAGCCAGATAACACCTTTGAATCCAATAATGGAACAAATTTATTCCTTTGAGAATGCTATAAGCCTCCCAGAGCCAGTTGTGTGTCAGTTGGGATGCTGTATAAATGTAATTAATAAAATTTCATAAACATTCTTTAATTAATCCACGTGGAATGAAATAATACCATATTTTTTAATTTAAAAATGTGGCTTGGAATATAAAGAGCAGATTGCTCGTTCGTGTACAAAAAGTTCAAACTCATTTAACTATCGGTAGTCCTTGACTTACAATCCTTTGTTTAGTAGCCATTGGAAGTTACAGACAGCACTGAAAAAAGTAATGCATTAGTTCTTGAAGTTATCATCATTGCAGCATCCCCACAGTCACGTGATCAGGTGCTTGTCAGCCAGTGTATATTTATGAAATTTTGTTTCTAATAAACAAAGTCAATGGGAAAAGCCTGGTGTGCTTAAAGGCCATGTGATTCACTTAATGTTGTGGCCTGCCAGCTGTCAGCAGAGCTGGCGGCAGACTCGGATGATGAAGAGGTTGGGGAAGAACTTGGGCCAGTTCTGGAGCCTGGGGAAGGCTCTGATGGATGCTCAGCGTCAGACGCAGAGATAGAGCCAGGGCCGTCCAGCATTTCCCAGCCAGAGAGGCAGCTGCCTTTGGAGTCAGAGATGAGTGAGGAGGAGGAACAGCTGGGGCCTGTTCTGGATGCGCGTATGCACAGAGCAGATAGGAGAGGTGAATAACGGAGGACAATGAGCCAGCTCAGGAAGCAAAACAAACATGGACACTGACTGGCCCCTCCCTGGCTGGGGAATAAATAGGAAGAAAGGGGAGTAGTTTGGTTGTCGCAGACAACTATTCGTATTTCTGGAAAGTTTGCTCCTTATGTTTGTTTCGTCGGACAAAGACTGCCTTGCCAGAACTGATGTCTGTCTATTTCTCTGTTTGAACTGACTTAATTGGCAGCCTCTGGGCTGGGAACTCACAACTTTGCATTTATCATAACGAGCTGATAAGGACTATTGACTTCTTGCAGGACTCTTGCCTGGACTTTCTGTTGGTGAATGCAGTTAATTCCCAAAGGGGTTTTTCTTTGCGGAGAGTCTATTTAATCCTTCTGTGAAGGTCGGGTCAGAACACTGACAACCGTGGCAAAAACAGTAAAATCAAGTCTGCCTCACTTATCGACTGACTTGTTTAGCAATGGAAGTTGCCATCATAACTTGAAGATACCTGTACTATAGTGTCATGAGTAAGCAATTGCTAAAAGCAGAGTGGATCCACGGATTCAGATTGGGCCATTTTAAAATGGGTAAAAAATGTCAATTTTTGTGCTATTGTCTATATTTCTCAAAACAGTTGTGGAGATTTGACAAGGTAACTCCACTAATTTGGCAGCTGAACAGCATCATTTCTTTTTGTACATCCAGAATTTGCATCTGTTTGTTTTTTGTTCTATCTAGACCAAAGGTTTCTGAATTAATCTGCCTAGATAAAAGTTAAGGTTAAGTATGAGATTTAAGGGGGTTGTGTTGACTAGTTTTTTGGGTCTTCCTCTTCCCAAAGTTAATATTTTCTGTTTTGGTCTGTCAGTTAATTAAGGACTCGTAATTACTGTGTAGTCTAGAAGGAAATGAAATGGCTGTCTAATGCATAGAATATAGGTACTCGTGTTTCAGAAATGAACCAATTGATTCTTCATTTTAATTTAATGCATTTAAGTACAGATATTGATTCAGTTTACCAATTATCTGTACATCTAACTTATTCAGATCCAAACTATTCAATATTGGTCTAGGTTTACGAGAAAAAGCATTTAGTTTTTATGATTCTTGAAAATAATGCAGTTTTTATATATACTTTTTCATAATGATGATAGATTTTTTTTCCTTGTTCTCATTAAAAGTTAAATTTCTGCTTAGGCAATATTTCTTTCCAAATGCATGATCTTCCGAAGAAAATATTCTCTCATTTATTTTTTTTATTTATTTTAAAGGAAGTATAATTTAGAAGTCTTAGAGCAAGATGGCTGGCTGGGGAGTTGAAGTCCATCTGTCTTAAAGTTGCCAAGGTTGGATACTCCTGATATAGAGAGAAAAAAAATCTGAAAATGTTAATCTCTGTTTTTAGTCCAGAGTGTAAGCAATAGGTTGCTTAGCTTTAATTTAGAGTTTATACACTGCTCAAAAAAATAAAGGGAACACTTAAACAACACAATGTAACTCCAAGTCAATCACACTTCTGTGAAATCAAACTGTCCACTTAGGTAGCAACACTGATTGACAATCAATTTCACATGCTGTTGTGCAAATGGAATAGACAACAGGTGGAAAGCATAGGCAGTTAGCAAGACATCCCCAATAAAGGAGTGGTTCTGCAGGTGGTGACCACAGACCACTTCTCAGTTCCTATGCTTTCTGGCTGATGGTTTGGTCACTTTTGAATGCTGGCGGTGCTTTCACTCTAGTGGTAGCATGAGACGGAGTCTACAACCCACACAAGTGGCTCAGGTAGTGCAGCTCATCCAGGATGGCACATCAATGCAAGCTGTGGCAAGAAGGTTTGCTGTATCTGTCAGCGTAGTGTCCACAGCATGGAGGCGCTACCAGGAGACAGGCCAGTACATCAGGAGATGTGGAGGAGGCCGTAGGAGGGAAACCCAGCATCAGGACTGCTACCTCCGCCTTTGTGCAAGGAGGGACAGGAGGAGCACTGCCAGAGTCCTGCAAAATGACCTCCAGCGGGCCACAAATGTGCACGTGGCTGCTCAAACGGTCAGAAACAGACTCCATGAGGGTGGTATGAGGGCCCGACGTCCACAGGTGGGGGTTGTGCTTACAGCCCAACACCGTGCAGGGCGTTTGGCATTTGCCAGAGAACACCAAGATTGGCAAATTCGCCACTGGCGCCCTGTGCTCTTCACAGATGAAAGCAGGTTCACACTGAGCACATGGGACAGACATGACAGGGTCTGGAGATGCCGTGGAGAATGTTCTGCTGCCTGCAACATCCTCCAGCATGACCGGTTTGGCAGTGGGTCAGTAATGGTGTCGGGTGGCATTTCTTTAGGGGGCCACAGATCCCTCCATGTGCTCTCCAGAGGTAGCCTAACTGCCATTAGGTATTGAGATGAGATCCTCAGACCCCTTGTGAGACCATATGCTAGTGCAGTTGGCCCTGGGTTCCTCCTAATGCACGACAATGCTAGACCTCATGTGGCTGGAGTGTGTCAGCAGTTCCTGCAAGACGAAGGCATTGATGCTATGGACTGGCCCGCCCATTCCCCAGACCTGAATCCAATTAAGCACATCTGGGATATCATGTCTCGCTCCATCCACCAACGCCACGTTGCACCACAGACTGTCCAAGAGTTGGGGGATGCTTTAGTCCAGGTGTGGGAGGAGATCCCTCAGGAGACCATCCGCCACCTCATCAGCAGCATGCCCAGGCATTGTAGGGAGGTCATACAGGCACGTGGAGGCCACACACACTACTGAGCCTCATTTTGACTTGTTTTAAGGACATTACATCAAAGTTGGATCACCCTGTAGTGTTTTTTTTTTCACTTTAATTTTGAGTGTAACTCCAAATCCAGACCTCCATGGGTTGCTAAATTTGATTTCCATTGATAATTTTTGTGTGATTTTGTTGTCAGCACATTCAACTATGTAATGAACAAAGTATTTAATAAGAATATTTCATTCATTCAGACCTAGGATGTCTTATTTTTGTGTTCCCTTTATTTTTTTGAGCAGTGTACATCTGCATATCGGAATCTTACATCTATAAGAGGAAAAGTCCATTCACCATTCTGATTAATGATGTAGTTAATTCACTATTTTGATTAATAGATGGTAGCAACAGAAGCTTAAAGTCACAAAACATCAAACTGGGAGATTTCCTGACCAATTGCCAGGGTTTTTTTTTTTTTTTTTTTGCATATATTTTTAAAATATGAACCAATTGAACCAAATACAGCAGACAAAAGAATGGGATAAAAGGAACTGTTGTAAGGCAAAACACAGAAGAAGCAAAACAATCAGGCCAATTAATGAGATCTATCGTGCTTTTAATGTTCTAGAAATTGGTTTCATTGAAATTTTTTCTGAAAAATTATATACATATACAATATATATACATATACAGTATATATACAGTACACACACACACACACAAATATATATATATACACACACACACACACACATACACACACACACACACACACACACACACACATGCACACACCTGAGATAATGGTACCTTGGGACTCAACTGCTTTGAAACTCATCGAATTTGATACTCAATTTTCAGTGTGAAAATTTTGTCCTAGTACTTATCATTTGTTTGGTACTCAATGCACAAGCTAGAACTTGTCGCTCTCCTCTGCCTTGTGACTCACTGCATTATTCCCTATGGGAAAAAGTGGTTTGGTACACCTCGCGCCTCCAGGATGAGTACCAAGGTACCACTGTAATTTGATTTTCTGCACATATAGGTAGCTCATGCTTACATACAGCTTTGTAAATCCCAGTCAGAATCAGATTTTGTTATGTTGGGGGTCCCCAGTCCACAACTCGGTACTGTTGACTGCGGCCTGTTGAGAAGTGGGCTGCGCAAGTGGTGGGCAAGTACACACACATACGCAAAGCTCCATTTGGGTACGCGGCAGACACGCCCACAAAACCATCCTTCTCACACACCCTCTCCGCTGCCGCCAATGCTGCTACTCTGCAGAGCCAAGAAGGTTTGGGACCGCTGTGTTATGCTACAGTTCAAGTCACAGGCAGTCAAAATAATGACAGCCCTGTTCTTGACATATCCATGTTAGTTTACGTTTGAAACATGAAATATTAAAAAGTCTCTTTTAATGTGTAGCTTGCTGTTTTAAGCTTTGGTGGTGCAGTGGTTAGAGTGCTGTACTGCAGCCACTTCTGCTGACTACTGGGTGCCTGCAATTTGGCAGTTCAAATCCCACCAGGATCAAGGTTGACTCAACCTTCCACCCTTCTGGGATGGGTAAAATGAGGACCCAGATTGTTGGGGGCAATATGTTGACTCTGTAAACTGCTTAGAGAGGACTGTAGAGCACTGTGAAGCAGTATATAATAAGTGTTATTGCTATTTCAGTCGTAGATCATTTCTACCAAACGGTAAAGCCAGGGCCATGTTAATTTGCTGTTCTTTCTCAAACAAATTATTACTCTTTCTAATTGCTATTTTCCATCCTTACAACATGAAAGTCCCAAGAGAACTATCAATTGTTATTAATGTTATATATATATAAAAAAAAAACAACTGTGTGTCTTTTGTTCTGTTGTTTTCCAGGGATTTCATGATGGATATGGACAGCTTCAAAATCCTTCCTTCACCAACGTGCCTCCAAAACTATAGCCAGTTCGTAGATGAAACAACAGTACAATTTTTATGTTGCGCCTCTCTCTCTTTTTCTCTTTCTCCCTCTTTCTCTTTCTTTCTCTCTTTTTTTTTTTTGTCCTAAACTTTGTAACACAAAATAGCTTTTCTGGATCTTTGTTTTAACTCCAAAGTGTTTCATCACTTATTATTGTAACTTCGAACAGATGTAAATAAACAGTGGGGTTTTTTTGTAATTATCCTGCGCAAAAGAATCTTCTTCAATTATGAATCTTTTTCGTAGATGGATGACTTCAATTTTCACATCACTCAGCTCAATGACTCTTTAAGAATAACCTGAGATATACTTTCTTTCAAGCTTGCCTATTATAGAAAGGTGGTTATCTACTATGGGCGTAATCAGAGGAAGCAAACAGGCAGAAAATACTTCGATTAAATGTCAACAGGCTTTCTAAATATAAAGTCACATGAAGAGAAAGGAGAGGGAACCCAACATTTAATTCCATGCTGTTGGTAGAAAATCAGTTAACCGAAAAACTTTCCTCACTGGTGTTGAGTTGTTGCCAACATAGCACAGGGCACCAAAGTGTCTAATAGCAATTTTAAAACCACATTCACCTTCTTTCAATCTGGCTTCCCATAAACTATAACCAACATAGAGGGATAGAATCAAGAGCACGTGAAGAGTTAATAGCACTTTATATGATGCCTTGGTAAGGCCACACTTGGAATACTGCATCCAGTTTTGGTCGCCATGATGTAAAAAAGATGTTGAGCAACAAAGGTGATTAGGAGACTAGAGGCTAAAACATCTGCAGAACAGTTGCAGGAACTGGATATGTCTAGTTTAATAGAAAAGAAGGACTAGGAGAAATATGATAGCAGTGTTCTAATATCTCAGGGGACTGCCACAAAGAAAAGGGAGTCAAGCTATTCTCCAAAGCCCCTGAGGACAGGACAAGCTTAGAGAAGCAATAATCAAGGAGAGAAGCAACTTAGAGCTAAGGAGAAATTTCCTGACAGGACAATTAACCAGTGGAACAACTTGCCTCCAGAAGTTGTGAATGCTCCAACACCAGAAGTTTTTAAAAAGATGTTAGATAATCATTTGTCTGAAGTGGTGTAGGGTTTCCTGCGTAGGCAGAGGGTTGGACTAGAAGACCTCCAAAGTCCCTTCCAACTCTCCTAGCATAAATAAGGGGACAATATACATCCTCCTCACAATCCTTTGCCAATCTGGAGCTCAAGTCTGTTTTGGCGTGTCCATCTGGACTGTAATTTTTTGTCCTCTGCAAAGGTTTCACCTCAGAGGACAATGAGATGTTCTGGGATTCCTGGTTGCCTAAGGACCTTCTACAACTTGAGATTGATATGAATAAAGATCTTTCTTTAATCATACAGATTCCTCTTTGGTACTCTGTTTTCTCAATTATCCAGCAGGGATTATCAATATTGTGTCTTGTTCCTTGGCCTTTTCTAAAACTAACATGAATATGTGGCATCTCTCTTTCTGTGTAGGACTCTAAACCTGCCATTAGGTGATCCCAAGCATTATTTTGCTAGCAAGTGAAATTAAGAATCATACAATACATTCTGTTAAGTCTTCTTTCTTTGGTTTCGATAGGTAGATTGTCCTCTTCTTTTGGCCATTGTGTCGTTCTCCATATTTGCTGCCTTAGTTTGCTTGGACCTTTTTATTAGATCTTCTGTTGCTTTCCATATTCCTGCATCCATTCCATCAATTCTTGTAGTCTTCCAACTTGGCAACAACCAGAGTGCGGTTCTGATTTTGTCTTCTAGTATGTACTTATAAATAGGGAATACCAGTAGCACTTAGACTTATATACCGCGTCACAGATATTTACAGCCCTCTCTAAGCAGTTTACAGAGCCAGCATCTCGCCCCCAATCATCTTGGTCCTCATTTTACCGACCTCAGAAAGATGGAAGGCTGAGCCAACCTTGAGCTGGTCAAGATCGAACAGCTGGCAGTCAGCAGAAGTAGCCTGCAGTACTGCATGTTAACCACTGTGCTGCCACAGCTATTATCTTCTACAGCAGGGCTGTCAAACTCGTGGCCCACGGGTTGGATGTGTCACATGCTGGCCACATCTAGTTTAACAAAGAGATCCCAATACATCACGTGATGCCACCATGACATGAGTTTGACACACGTGTTCTACAGTATTCTGGCCCCTGATGCCTTTACTGCTCAGAATTTCAGTATATTCCTTCTTTTTTATTTGATCTTGAAATCAGCTGCTATCTGTCCATTGGTATCTTTCCTTTCTGTTCCATTTCCAATATCCTAAAACAGATTGTCATAATAACTACTTTTTGGTTCTTCTGGCAGCTCTCTTTGTGAAAAAACTTTGTTAAGTTTCTTCTGGAGATCTTTCCCTTTGGCTTCTTTTATCTTCTTGGCGATTTGTTTTGACATCGGTTTGTTTTCTATTCTTTCTTAGTTCATATTTAATAATTTATTTTTTTTACTGAATTCCACAGTTCCTGTGGTTTCTTATCAGTGAGATTCAGCACTTTAAAATGATTCCTTGTAAATAGTAAGTATATGACCAGGATCCTGCCATGGAAACTGGTTGGCTTTACTTTCCCACTTTAGCTTGACTTTGCACATAAATAGTCTGATATTAACAGATTAACAGAGTTGGAAAGTACCTTGTAGGTCATCTAGTACAGTCTCCCGCCCAAGCAGACCCAACACCATTTCTGACAGATGGCAGTCCAGTCTCTTCATGAAAGCCTGCAGTGATGAAGCTCCCACAACTTCCGAAGGCAACTTCTGTTCCATTGGTTGGTTGTTCTCCTTGTCAGACAATTTCTCCTTATTTCCAGGTTGAATCTCTCCTTTGTTCAGTTTCCATCCATTATTCCCTGTCTGGCCTTTGGGTGCTTTGGAGAATAGCTTGACCCCTTCTTCTTTGTAGCAGCCCCTCAAATATTGGAAGGCTGCTATCATGTTACCCTTAATCCTTTTCACTAGTGGTGGGACTCATCTCCAGGGGGGATTGAGTCTGCCTACCGAGATGAGGTGGACCAGTTGCTTTCGTGGTGTGGAGACAATAACTTGGTCCTCAACACCAATAAGACCAAGGAGCTTATAGTGGACTATAGAAGGAACAGATCAGACATCCAGCCCTTGCTTATCAATGGAGACAGTGGAGCAAGTGGCCAGTTTTAAGTTTTTGGGTGTTACCATCAAAGAGGACCTGACCTGGGGTGCTCACTTTGCAGCACTGGTCAAAAGGGCCCAGCAGAGATTATACTACCTGAGACTTCTCAGAAAACAACTGAATGAAAAACTGCTGGTGACCTTCTACCGCTGCATCATAGAGAGCATTTTAACATACTGCACCTCTGTATGGTTTGCCAATTGCACAGTGGCAGATAGGAAAGCACTCCAGAGGATTAACGTCATTGCCTGGAAGATCATGGGTTGCCCTCTCCCCTCTTTGGAAGAGCTTTATAGCTCCCGCTGCCTTAAGAAAGTTCAAAACATTCTCAAAGATCCATCTCATCCTGGGAACCCTTTTTTTTAACTATTACCATCTGGCAGACGGTACAGGATAATAAAAACAAGGACAAATAGGTTGAAAAACAGCTTCTATCCCAGTAGCTCTTTTGAATTCTACTGTATAGTGCAGTGTTGGTGTGGTGTCGGGGGTTTTCAATTCAATGTGTGGAGTGTGAAGGATGTGTGTTTGTGTTTATTTTCATGGTCATGATGTGCACTGAAGATGGTGTTTGATTTTGTTGTACAAGGTGCAATGACAATAAAATAAAATAAACTAGATGAGACAACCCAATTCCAGCAACCATTCTTCATGTTTTAGCCTCCAGTCTCCTAATCATCTTGGTTGCTCTTCTCTGCACTCTTTCTAGAGCCTCAACATCGTTTTTAATAGCATGGTGACCAAAACTGGATGCAGTATTCTAGGTGTGGTCTTACCAAGGCTTTCTCTTTGCTGTTATCATTGAGTTCTTTCACCTCCTTGTATCAATAATACAGTCAATTTGATTTGATAGCATCTATTATATAGGGATCTTTTTTTTTTTGAAACTGTATTAGCAACAAAAAAACACTTTAGATCGGCAGGAGTTGTTGAGACATTATCTTGCTTCTATTTTTCTTCATTTTTTTCTCTCTTCCTAATCCATATTGTCAAACTGTTTGCTCCTGACTATTTCCAATTTTGGCACTCCAGTCTCCACTACATGCAGTATATCTTGCATGTTTTGTCAATTTCAGATTGAATTTGATGTTAACATTTTCCAACCTTCCCTTCTCCTGCCTTAATGGTTGGAGCATAAAATTGGATGGCCGCGCTATTTAAAGTGTTGCCTGCAAAGTCTAATCAATATGTGGTCATTGACTGCACAGTATCCAAATAGTGTGTTGGCCATATTCATCCTGAATGCAAAAGGAAAAAAAAAACTTCATTTTGATGCCTTCAGTAGCAAATTGTGTGAGCTTCTGACTTATAGTGTGTTTTGTCGAGTGTTAAAAGAAGGGATCAGGCATTCTGGCAATTGGTTCTTTTGGATCCAGAAACAATGAACACTCCAGTAAATAAAAGAGATTTGATGCTTTATGATTGGCTCAAGCAAGCTGATTGAAAAGCATAGCATCAAAATCATACATAACAAGCAAAATAATACTCAAATATCTTACAAATTCCCAGGAACTCATTAATGACAGCAAAGATACCTCATGGTATAGGGCCGTGATAGCAAACCTATGGCATGCGTGCCGCAGGTGGCATGCAGAGCCATTTGTGCGGGCATGCGAGCCCCAGCCAAACTTACCTGCACTGTGCATGCACATGCCTCACAGCTGATCTTTGGCCCGTTTGAGGCCTTTTTCGGCCTCCCAGTGGTTCGAGGGAAGCCTATGCAGCCTTTGGAGGCCGAAAAACAGGTCTGTTTTGTCCATTTCCTGTATTTCCGGAAATAAAACGTGCCCATTTTTCAGCCTCCAAAGGCCGCAGAGGCTTTCCTTGAGCCTCTGGGAGGCCGAAAACCAGCTGGAAGGTGTGCAGTGCAGGTAAGGGGGTGGGGTGGGGTAATCGCACGCGCATGCGCAGGGGGCATGGAGGGCTGCACGCATTGCCTTCTGGGTGTTGGCACGGAGCCCAAAAGGTTAGCTACCACTGGTATAGGATTTCCTGCCTACTAGGAGGCTGGACTAGAAGACCTCCAAGGTCCCTTCCAGCTTTATT